TGGGTAGCAGGATTGGAGGTTATGTTGAAGATGAAGAACAGGTTTTCGGACTGCAAGGCAGGGGGAGAGTTGGTATGAGTAACAGATAGTTATCAAGTAAAAGAATTTTAGAGTTCATGAACATGAAAATGGTGCATTTCTGGGTGATGGCAAGACCAGGGGTATGTGAGCATCTCTGTACAGCTAAGGTGGGGTTGAGAGAGAAGGTCACGTGAAGGGAAGGAAAAGGAACAAGCATTTATTATTGCTTACCATGTGACAGGCACTGTGCAAAGTGCTTTACAAATATTAACTAATTTGATCCTTATAACAGTCCTGCAAGGTAGGTGCTATTATTAACATCCTCATTTTACAGTTGAGGAATATGAGGCAGACGGAGATTAAGTGACTTGCTAGCTAGTAAATGTCTGAGGCCAGATTTGAACTTTGGTCTTCCTGACTCCAGGTCCAGCACTGAATCCACTTTGATCACCTAGCTGTCTCTGTGTAGCTACCTGAGTAAGGAACTGTGAGGTTAAGGTGCTGAGGGGACATCACCGAATATGTTCAGATCCCCTAGTATGAGGGCAGAAGTTGGGAACGATAGAAAAACTGAGCCAGGCACTGAATTCATTGAGGGAGGAAGGAGAAGGTTCTGGAGGTTGGCAGACAATAGCCACCAGAGTCTTGACTGGGTGATAAAAGTGGATTGAGTAAATCTCAAAGAGAGCGAGATGACTGAGTGTTGGTGGTAAATAGGGAGAGCCTGGAAGGATCCATGAAAAACCAGGAGTGTTCCAGCTCCCATGAGGTGGGAATGTGAGTGAAAGTGCAACGAGTTCTATGGAGATTGGCTGGGGAAAACTGGGTCACCAGGAGGGAGCTCAGTCCCAGGGCCAAAGGAAAAGGTTTGAAGTAAAAACTAGTTTGTTACCTGTGGAGCATGCATTGCAGACAGCACAGTGGTGGAAGGCATGGGTAGCTTTTAGAGGGGCATTGGTGAGGTTTGGTTGCGGATACTGCTTTTTAAGGGGCCCTCTGAACTTGTCTTGGTTAACACTACAAATAAAGGAATAGTCAGTAGGGGGCCAAGTATGGGGTATCTGAAAACATAACTGAAAAATCCAAAAATGAAGAGGAAATTAAGATGTGATAGCATCCATTAAGAAGAACCACATAAAGAATGACACGATGTCAAAAACTGAGTTGAAACCAGACCATTAACTTTTACTTTTGTATTGTATATGGTGAATATTCATGCACAGAAACATGACTGCTGCTGCAGAGTTGTTATGTTCCCTGATTATTATGGCCTTATTTGATTATTGGGTAATGAGCTGCTTTGATCAAATTCATTAAAATAGTTACTAAAAAGCAATTATTATTTCTAATTGTACCCTTTTCCCTAGGATATAGAGATTTTAAAAAAATAATGAAGTATATGAATTGCATTGCCTTCACTAAACATTACTGGTATTTTAGTGAGAGCAAAAGGGTTTTTTGTACTATTAATAAATAGCTTTAAAATACTGTTTTTCATATTCTTTGTCATTTCTGTTTTTTTGTGTGTTTTATAATGTACATAAGTATAAGCACATGTTTTATATATTTTATTTACATAGCACAGACTTTATATTTTATTTATAAATGTATTCGTATACTAGGGGTATGTGTTAAAAAATTGATTGGGGTTGTGTGAAAAAAAAAAAGACAGTTTGGAGATCTATTAAGTACTATCAAAACCTCTACCTTGGCTTAGAGCCATTAGTTTTAGCCCACAACTTTAAAGGTTTAGGCTGCCAGAAAGACTCCTTAAAAGGGTGGAGGGGGGAATCAAACTTTCTAATCTTCTTCTAAGTTAGTAGCTATGGTAAATTGGTTTAACTTTAGTGGCATCAACATTATTATTATTTTTTTTTATTTTGACAGGTTGACAGACTTCTCCATTTGTATCTGCCAGACTTCAAAATATGACCCTGAATAGCTTGACTCCCAGGCAGCTCTTCAAAACTACAGTCAGTGAAGAAACTTAATTTCTGGCTGAACAAAATGATTGTGATGTATTTTTGTCTTCGATGAGAAAAATACATAGCAGTATCTTTGAATTATGAAGGTGAAATTGGCCAAGTTTTAAGGGGAATTTTTGGATTTTGCAGAATGTGCTTTTAGCAGATTTTGTTTTAAAGCACAACCATGAAGATTTAAATGCATTTTATTGGCATAACATATAACATAGAATCCAAGCATTAGCTTACATAGTTTTATTTGAACTTTTTCATATTTTTAGGATTATGGCTTTAATTGCTAGTATAATTATAGTCCATGTTTGGTTATCTTTCAGAATATGATTTGGTTATCAGATTAGCACAAAAAAATCTAAAAATTATATGAAGGTGTGGCTAGAGTAAGGGGACTGTGTTTTAAAACAAACATACCAGAATCAATATACCAAAAGAGTGTTGCCTCCTTTAAAAAAGCACCCACCTGTTGAAGCTGTACACTTCTGTCAGTGATGTTCCCATGGCCCAAACCATGCGGAGAGCTTCCTTGTGGGAAGTGCCTTGAGGGCTTGTTGCACCTTTTTCTGAGTGTGTAACATAGTAGCTAACTAATTCTTTTGCAGCTGGATAAGTCTTTTGGAGCCAAGACTGGTAAATCAGGAAGAGATCAACCTGTGGGTAATTTATTTTTAGGTAAAACAAAGTGTGACTCTGAACTGCCCCTGAAAAACAGTGTGCCAAAAATGGTGTTTGAAAAGTGTTTTGAGGAAAGGTTTTAGGATGCACTGTAAGATTCTCTTCTTCTACCCCAAATGTACACTTACCTCTGAAATTGTTATATCTAGGCAGATATGCAATTTAGTTTATATCTCTCAGGCAGCCTCCAACTGACAATGCGGAAGGAGGTCACCCCACAAAATCATGTTGGGAAAAGCCTGGCTGGCATTGGAAAAGCTGTCCGTGGAATGTGAACATTGAATAAATAAATAGATTTTTAAAACATTCCTTTAAAAAAAGTTACTATGTGACCATCTCTATGGTGCAATCATGTATTACATGATAGAATTTTTTAATGTCTTACTGAAAGATAGTAAAAAATGCCAAAAGAAATTATGTTTGAATTTTAACCAGTTTACAATAATAGAAAATAATGAAAAAAGATTTGTTATCCCCTCCACCCCCTGGCCTAATGCAGGAATCCCTTCCATCATATCATTGAACAGTGCGTTTTTTTAGGGCCAGGGAGCTCACAAGGTTTTTCAGGGACAAAGAACTGTTTTGCAAGGCAGCCCATGCCATTGTTGGCCGGATCTAATTTTTGCAAGTTCTAGTCCAAACCGTATCAGAACAGAAATTCCCTCTATTGCACTCCCCCAAGTGGTAGTTATCATTCAGGCATGAAGACCTTAAGTGAGGGGATCCAAGACAGCACAGTCTGACTTTGGAATATTATGGTTATTATGAAGTTTTTCTTCATGCCTAAATTTGCCTCTTTGTAACCTCCCTCCATCATTCCTAGACCTACCCTGTGGCCAAACAAGTCTTAAGTTACCCTTCTTGCTGTGATGACTGCTTCTGTAAATGCAGCCCAAGATCACGTGAGCATTTTTAGCAGCCACCTCACACTGGTTTGTAGAATGTGACTTGAGGAGACCCACTCTCCCAAGAGGCCAGCAAAGTCCAGCTGTATCTGAAGAGCTCTTCCCCATGTCATACCTGAAAAGTGTCAGGCTGCATTTGTTTGAAGACCTTCAGTGAGGGGAAACTCACACCCTACTCCCAAGGTAGCCCATTATACTTTTGCATAACTAATCAGTAAGATGTTTTTACTTATATTGATTGTAAATGTACTCCTTGTCAACTTTTACCCCTTGTTGCTAATTCCGTAATCCCTCAGCCACACAACTACCTTTTAGATGTTAGATAGCTTTCGTGTCTTCTCTAAGTCTTTTCTTCATTGGGGTAAATGTTTTTTGAAGGCCTTAGTTCTTCTTTTGATCCTTATATGGCATGATCTCAAAGTTCTTCATCAGCCTGCTTGTGCTTTCCTTTGGACACCCACCAGTTTACCACTGTCCTTTCTAAGATTAACCACCTTGGTTTGTTTGTTTTTTTTCTTCACATGAATGGTTTCAAGTCAGATTTTCCCCCTTCCTCCCCTATTATTTACTGACTTAATAGATTTTAAAAACTTAAATGCAGGACTTCATATTTATTCTAGTTAAATTTCATCTTGTTGGTTTTGATCCATTCGCTGGTTGGATATAGATTAAATTCCATGTAAGATTTACAAATAACATACTCCAGAAAGTCAAGAATGAGGATAGCTTTAGTGTTCATTATGGTAGAATTTGACCAGGTAATTAACTGCTTCTGTGTAACGGTTGTTAAAAACAGTGCATTGCAAATAGTAGGTGCTTAATTGTTGGATTGAATTGAAAGTGAAACAAAAAACTTCAGGCTTCCATGGTCAAGATAATTACCCTTGTTAAAGAAAGATGGCACAATAGTTGTACCATTTTCTGTCACTTTCATGGTTTATCATAATATCTATATAATATAAAGTACTTTCAATAGACTAGATTTTTTGAAGTCCTGCATTATTTTAAGACCTCTGTTTTTAAACTTATTCATCTAAATGAAACTCTCAATTTTGTATTATATCTGATCTGTACTCTGCAATATTGGCCAAAGTAGGTCTCAGAGAGTTTATACTGAATATCATACTTTGTCTTTTTTAAATTACTGTTTATTCCACTGTGTACAATTTGATTTTTTTCATACAAATTTGCAACAATTCTGAGCTCCCAAAAACCATACATAGACGATAAATATCATGCTATTAAAGTATTAAATTTGTACAAAAATACTTTACAGTTTAATACTTGTTTGTTACAAATAAAAATACATATTTAAGTGACTCATGATTCTTTCAAACATGATTCTGTTTTAAATTTTCTTTTCTTGCCCTGGCAGTGTTGAATGAAGGAAACATTTGCGTGTGCACAAAAGGAAGGTGAGCTTTTTCATGTAATAAGGGTAAAGAAGATAGTGATACTGTATCTAAATGGTGTTTGAATTTTTAACCCAAACCAAAAGGGTTAGAAAATGACTATTTGTTAATGAAAGTTCTACAATCAATATATATAGATCTAGTTAATTTTTTTTTTATATTTAATAGATAACAGTTATTACTGTGATTACTCAAAATATCCAAACAACTGAAAACAGTTGCTCAGGAGGATAAGAAGCAATTGTCACCATTTATTGCTTTGAGGGGTGGTAGGAATTGGCAATGTATTTTGTAAAATGTATTTACAATCTCTAAGTGGCATGGCTCAAAACAGAATATATTTCAGTGGAATTTCTAAATACATGTGCTGTACGCCCCTCAATCTGTCAAAACAACATATGTAGTGATATGGATTTGATTTGCCTGGCATTAAGTTGACCTCATTTGAATATACTTTGTCCTTTGTTACAGGTGTTTATTTAAGTATTTTAAAAAAAAGAAAACAAATGAACTTAAGAACAAATACCCTCAGATTGAGTTTTTAGTGTAATGTCCTTTTTCAGAGGTTTTCAGCTACTTAAGAAATATCCTCATTCTTAAAAAAAAAAAAAATTACAGGTCCCAAGACATGACCTGCTTAGTATTTTCTTGCATAGGGAATAACATACATCCTAGTAAAATTGTTCCTATACTTGGGCAATACATTTCACCACCACCTACCACAGCCTCTTACGTGCATGTTTGTGGAAATACTTTAATATAACTTAATTTTATATCTGCACCCCTCCCATTGTAGCAGACCAAGAGTTCACAAAACACTACCCATAATAAAGCTAAATTTACAAAGAGCCTTGTTCATACAGCTTACTGTTACATTAAGACCCAGTAACCAGCTGGTTTAAAAGTGAATTATAAGATTCTATCATAAAGGATATTTTAGAAAATGAGATTTTCTTTCTTTCTCAAAACCAGTCATATTAAGATGAAAGTATGAAATTGCCTTTTTTAAAGATCCTTTAGTTTATTAATGGGAGGGAAGAAAAGACCTACTTACTTTTTACTATCTTTTTTGCTCTATCATTGGGCTTGGCCTGCCATTTATCATAGTGGTCACCAGAAAAACTTCCAATTTTAAAAGAATAGTGAACATGAGCCATGAGAGACATTTAAAAGCCCCTGTGCTTTACAATTAATGCCACATGATTGATCTGTGCCTCAAATGTCACAGATATCTTAAAGGGATTTTTTTTAGCACCATGTATATATTGTCCTTTGTCATTTTATAAAAATCTTTGCTATAATGTATTAGTGGGTTCTCGTGTCTCTAGACTACCACCATGTCCAGTTTGTTGAAAGAAAGCTCTGTTCTGGTCTCCCCATTCTCCACCAGGTAAAGTACGTTGTTGATCTGGGACCACCTTCTGGGATGCCAGGGGATTCCTGCTAATAACCAGGTCCAGTTTATTTCCAGATTCTGCTATGAGGGGCACAACGAGGCAGCAGTCAAAGTCTCTCGTACGGACATGGTTAACCTGAAAGGTCAAGAAGGGCCATTCTGTCATTTGGGCTTAGTGTTTGAGTCATGAGACAACACAGTTGAACCCCAAACATACAACCTTGAGGTGAAACCAGAAGTTATTTTAAAAGGGTGGAGACAGGAGGGAGAGGATGTTGTGCAGTGCAATGGATACAGAAAGGGGGGAGAGTTTGAAGACAGAAAAGTATCACAGGGAGTGGTAAGTTCCTCTCTCCAAGGTACTAACAATCTCTTAATTGTTAAGTGGTGTTTCTCAGTCCTCATCTTCTTTGATCTCATCAGCTTTTGACTCTGTTGATACATCCAGTGATCCAAGTCTTCTCTCTCTGTTCTTACTCACTTTGTCTCCTGTCTCCACGGCTCTGTACTGGTTGTCCCTCCTGCCTGGAATGCATTCCCTTCCTCCTTTAAGATGCAGCTCAGACACCATCTTCTGTGTGAAGCCTTTCTTTCCTGACCCACTTCTGACTGCTAATGCCTTCCCTTCCAAATTACTTTGTGTTTAATGTGTGTATTTATTAATTTTATAATTTATGCAGTATATATTAATCTCATTGTGAGTACGAATTTCAGTCTTTGTACTTGTAGCCCTAACCCCTAGAACAGTTTCTGACTGATAATTGGCACATAAGATTTGTTGATTGATGGACTGATTGACTGTCCCCTCCAGGCTGCTTTTCTCTTGGTTTTTGTGTGATACTGCTGTCTCCTATTTCTCCTACCTGTTTGGTTGCTCCTTCTTGGCTAGATCCTCATCGCTGTAACCGGTGTAACCCTGTGCAACCATTAGTGTTTTCCATGGCTCTGTCCTGGAGCCTCTTCTCTCTCTGTACCACCTTCTTTCTTGATTTCATTAGTTACCATGGGTTCAATGATCTGTATGCAGATGATTCCCAGAACTATATATTTAGCACTTATTATTTCCCTGACTGCCTGTACTGTGTCATTGGTTTTGCGCTAAACTTTTCTATCCAAATGTCTCATAGGTGTTTTGCACTCAACAGGTCCACAACTCATCATCTTCCTATTATTAAAATTCACAACCTCAGCTTGTCTTCCATTCTTTCATACCACATATCCAATCAGTTACCAAATTTTGTGGGTTCTGTCTCCATACTTTCTCTCGAATCCATCCCATTCTTTCTACTCAAATGGCCACTACCCTGTTTCAGGCCTTTTATCATCTCCCATCTACATTATTGCAGTAAACTCATAATCTGTCTTAGCTCAAGTTACTCCCCTCCTTTCCAATCCATCCTCCATACAGCTGCCAGTATAAATTTAAAGCATAGGTTTGAACAAGTGATTTTTCTGCTCAGACTCTTCAATGATTCCAGTTGCCCTTAGGATAAAATATAAACTCACTTTGTTATTTGAAACTCTTAAAAATGAGGCTGCAGCCTTTCCTTCCCATTCTTTTCAGTCCTTCCCCTTCAAAACTTTATTTTTCCCTAAACTTGTCATTTATCTACCACCTCTAGGTCTTCACACAGCCTGGTTCTCCCCCTATGCCTGGAATACAGCTGCTTCTTTACCACCTAATCACAGAAATCTTAGCTTCTTTCAAGGTTCACATTAGGTGAAATCTACAGGAAAACTTTCTTGATTCCCCTTAGCTACTAGGGCTTCTTTCATTCCTAAATTACCTTTTATTTACTTCTTTCTGTGTTATATTCCCCCTGGTAAAATAAAACCCGCTTGGGCAGGGTCTGGTTTGCTTTTCATTTTGTCATTCAGTTTCCAGCACGTAGTGCGATATCTTGTACACTGTGAATACTTGATAAAGGCTTCTTGAACTGAGTTGGTAGGGGTTGGAGTTACAAAGCAGGATTAGTGAAGAAGAGGATATGTTACTTTAAAAAAAAAAGATTGGGAAAGGAAGATAGGATAGAGTTTTAGGACAGGAGTTCTTAACCTTTTGGTGAGGCCTACAGATCGTTTCTTAGGATAACGTTTTCAAATGAAATCAACTATTTGGAAATATAGTTATAAAATAATAATTTTTAAAAACCAAGTTCATAGATTCCAGGTTAAGAACACTGTGTTAGCAGATAAAATTGAAGAAAGGCTTTTGAATTTAAAGCTTAAAAATGCTCCTTAATATAATGAATACCTGAGTATAGTATGTGTGGGGTCAGGGGAAGGTGCCTGTAGAGAAGAAAAAGATGAAAACATAAAAGAATAAGGATAGTGATAGAACAGTATCTTAGAAGAAGTAGAAGTAGAAATGGAAATGGATGGGTTTGTCTTGGAAAGGAGCCAGGACATATCTTTCTCAGAAAAGTAGGGGAATATGAAGGGAGCTTTAGCTGGTAATCATATTAGAATGAGGGAAATAGTGATGATAGTGGAAGCTTGAGGTTAGAAAAAGTTTGAAATGGGTCCTGTGGGGAATTTGACAAGATAGAAAATGTGAATAAAAGGATTATTGAGCCCAGTTGATGTTAAAGTTGCATGGTTTTATAATGGACCTGCTGGCATATTTTAATTTCTTCCTTTTAATACCAGTATTTGGCAGCCTCAGAAGAGAAAAAAGCAAATGGTGAGAGTAATCCGTGGTTGGAGGAAAAAGGACCACGGGATTCTAGACTTCTAAGGAGGCCATCATTCAAATAGATGATGGGATGTAAAGAAGTATTAGGACAGCAAGTGAAGTCAGGATGGGGACCGATACATTGGGAAAAGGAGGAATTAATAATGAAGGGAGAGAGCAAGTTTAATAGGTTTGAAGTTGTGGTTAAAAGAGAGGGATAGGTAGAGTGATAAAGGAATCCTGAGATACATGCCATGGTGCTGCTTTCTACATAATAAGATTCTTTTGGTATATGAGTATATTTAAATAAAAAATTAAAAAAAAACCTTTGGAATCCTCTTTAATGAAGAATTTTGTTCAGTTGATTAAGACAGTCAGCTTGTTATCCGTGCTAATGGAAGTGAGTATTTTTTCATGATGGAAACAAGTACTTTACTTGGTTTGAATCAGTTGGCTCAGGGAATTTAAGATGGGAGGAAGGACTATGTATCTGACTTAGGTGGCAAGTAACTCACAATGGAGATTTAAAGTTGCCACATAAGATGTAGAGAAAATGCTTTCTCTAGGTGGGGAGGTTGGGCTTTTTGATCTCTTAAGATGATATGATCCTAAGAGAGGCATTATTATTATAAAGCAGAACCAATGTGTGAGTTAAATGTGGGCCACTTTGTCTACAGTAGCATTAGTTCGGGGAAGTTTGTTTCTAGTACTGGCTAGCAAGAGGCTGTCTTAGGTGACGCCTTAGACAGCCAGACCTTACTTTAATGCCATGTTTTTTCTGAGCAACTCTCTGATCTTACTTTAATTTCCAATAGGCAGTTCTAAGGGGGAGGAGAAAGTTTATATATAAACTAGCCTTTTTATGCAACTGAATTTGAAAAAAATGGAGTAATTTCCCCCAACTCCTGAATGCCCCTAGGAAAGTAGCCCACAAAGGTAATGGATCCACTGGGAACTTGGACTAATGAGTACAGAATGGCAGTTGACCTTGAAACCTTTGCTCTCACCAATCTGTCTCAACACTTCTCTAACCTTGGGTTTGGCAGGAATTGAAAAGTAAGAATATGTGGATTTAAAAAATGACATTTAGAATTAGAATCCCTAGTGCAACAGTGACAATAAGGCACCTCTTCATTTTTCTCTGAGGTTGTATGTAGCTTTTTAAGTACAGCCATCTTTATGCAGTTGATCTACAGTATCTTGGGCCAGTAAAACCTAGCTTAGCAGCATGTAAAGCCCATCCATTGAAGGAAGAGTGAAATATTTTGGCCTCCTAGGAGAAATATCAGGCATTATAGTTGCAGTTGCTTGGCTGGTTCTAGGGGTCCTGAGCAGCATCAGTTACGAGTGCCTTGTGATTATATAAGGGTGTCTGGAAATCTCCTTTACATGACACCAGTGGGAACTTCTGAGAAAAGTTTTATAAAAAACACCAGTTTGGTTTAAATGTGCCCAATGTGTGTGGCCAAGATCAAGAGTAAAATGCTGGAGGGGGGGGGGAAGTAGAGGATCAGAAAAGGTATATGTGCTGGGGGGTCTGGATTGGGAGTTGTTGAGGGTGTTAGATTTATCCATAGTTACTCAGTTATCTGGAAAGCATATATGGAAAAGGGATGTTAAGGAGATTGTCCATATTGAGTGTATAAGCCCAGGACAAAAGTCCATGTGAGACAACTGACCCATTGATAAAGGGGAATTTGGGAACATTTACAAGGTGTTGCCTTTATATCAAATCTCCAGGAATAGAATATTCTGAGGAACTATAGTCTATAATTCATTATGGGATAGGGTATTATGTTTATAGTAGACCCCCTCAAATTAAGAGGGGGCTCTGCCTTTGAATGCTAGGGATTATTTTGTTATCTATTCATGAGTTATTAGGTCAGTGTCATGACTTTAGAATTTAAGAGGGGATTGTAAACTCTAAGGGGGACTCACTCCTTATAGGGGAGGAAGGAATAAGTTCTCCGTAAACCGTTATCTGGACCCTCTACCTCCTGGCAGGGGACTGACTGGGCAGGTTCCTTAGCAGCAATTATTCAGGTGACAATGCCTATTGCTATAGAAGGGCTTTTTACCCTAAGGTTCAGAGTGAATCTCTGAGCCCTAGGTGGGGGGATTATTCAGGGCATGAGAGTTCAAATTAGAAACACCCAGACTGTGATTTAATAGAGGATGACCACTTATTAGCAGGATGAGGTATCCTGCAGACTTTGTCTCTTTAAAGGGGGGGAGAACTGCAGCTACCTTGAGTGTGATGGGCCTTTGGAGAGTATTAAACCGATTTAGTTGATCTAGGAGTGACAACAGGAATTTAGGAACCACATCACTCTAGTCCATTGCTCTTACCAGCCCAATATCACAAGTCCAACATTAACCTGGCTTGCTTCTTTGGAATGTGTAATTCTTTGGAATCAAAGGTCTTGTGAAATGAATAAATTTCACTGAATATATTTTAAAAGAGCATAGGTCTTTACTGAAAGATCCTATTACAGAAGGTACCAACATTATTCTTGGGCTTTTCTTTCTTAAAACAATTTTTACAATAGAATAAATTGTTGCATCCAGTACTTCCACCTTCCACTTGACACCTGGAGATCACTTTGTAAAGTCAGGTTTTGAGGTTGTAACCAAAATGATGCCAGAGCCATGGTGATGAGAGTTTGGAGAGAGGATCTGGTGGGAGGGACCTTAGAGGATGGGAAAAGAACAGAGCTGAAAAGCTCTCTTCAGTGGGGTCATCCTCTACTAGGTGAATAGACCACCACTCTCCACTCCTAAATTTGCTTATTTGAGTTTGTAAAGTTAACTATATGCTCCACCTTAGACATGCATGGTTGAAATTGCACATTTGGCTTTTACCTGCAAGAGCCTGTCATATGGCTTTAAGCCACCTAGGTCTCCTGGTCCAGTGGGGCGAATATTTTTAACGTATACTCCTTTCTCCAGCAGTCCATCTGATACGCTGAACCCAAAGTCTTCCATGTCACAATCCTTGTACAAGGTTACCTGTAAAAATGGTACACTGTAAAAATACATTTCCTAGAACAAGTCTTTGCTTTTGAAGTTTCAAAAACATGAAGAACCTTCTTCAAATTATTTTCAGTGATGTTAAGTACTATTGAGACAGCCCTTTCTTCTCAAAGAACATCGTACTATGGAGTTTGTAGTATATTTTGGGACTTGGGCATTTTCCATATACATCCAGATTTAAGAAAGGGACACACCAAAAACTTCCTTTTTTTCGACAAAAATATCCTGAGGTTAGCTGTATCCAACTTGAGATTTCAGTCGCCTGCTCAATGTATTGATTTTTTTTTGTTCTTCCTTCATTGCTAAGCCTGTTTTATTTTTAAATATTTTAACCACCACCAAAACCAATGGTGCATGCAGAAGGAGTAGAAATCTCATGCAAACCATTAGCATTCAGCAAAGTAGGTCCAAATAAATAGACACATGAACAAGTTCTGCCAAAGGTGTTTTTAAGGCAGTCTGTATTGAAGCCTCACCTCTAACGCAAAGCACCGCCCTTAAAACTGAGCATCCCGGTCAAGGGCGATGCCATGAAAAACCTTCCCTTCATTGTCTCCTTGTGCCAGCTACCATTACAGTACATACCTTGTCTCTTACTTTCTCTTACTCCATGGTGACAGAGTTAGAACATTCTCTGACTTTTTTTAGGAGGAGTCAAAAAGAATCTCAGGATTGGGGGGAAGAAGCTTCAGTCATCAAAAGTCTCTAAGTGTGGTCTCTCTGAAGGCAAAGGAGTGATAGATTGGAGGACCTAAAGATCTCCACTGACACCAGCTGCTTCTGATAATTTCTTTCCATAGGCCCAGTTTTGTGTAATAACAATCCCTAATCCTGTGAATTAGAAAACCTGAATTTTGCTCTTTGTCCAGATAATTATTAGCTGTATGGTCCTGAGAAAGTCCCTGCATTGAGCCTCAGCTTCCCTATATATAAAATGGGCATAATAGTGGCATACATCCCATTGATTATATACTTCATACCCTTTAAGGGCACTATTGGACATAGGAGCTGCTGTTATTCTCCTCTCGCTGCTGTGTTCAAATGATTCTGTTCCCACTTACTTGGCCCTGATGACCAAATATCTCATTCAGTCATGTTTCTTGTTGCCTCTGGGGAGTACAGCAAAACCTATTCACCAGCTCTTTTCTTTGCTTCTTTCTCCAAGGTGTGATTGTGAGCCATTCTTCCATTTAGCTGCAACTTGACTCTGCTAGCATTGTTTATAGCAAGCATGTCATGACCGATATGATTTAGGGAAGGGAACATTTACATTCCCTTATTGGTCATTTAAAAAGGAATTTCAGATTTAGGGTACCCATTGAATTTATGTTTATTGATGGTCTAAAAACTCTCTCCCCATTCCCCCCTTTATTGCCACCTGAAAATGCCACTCCAGAACCTGATGGGGGCCATACGGAATTGAGGCTCTTTTGAAGTTCTTAGTTTCATGTGTTGCCATCTTACCCCCACCCCTCCCAAAAAAAATCATTACCAAGTAGCCAACATACTGGTGATGTGCTTTATGTAATTAGATAGGTTTGTCCTTGGAAAATAGACTCAGTCTGCTACCAGAACCAGAGACATACTCGAAGCCTTTCCAGCAAGGTAAAGACCTGTCACAAAACTTATATACTTAGCTCACATAGCCTTTAAGATTCCAAGGTCACTTTAACACTACAATGAGGTACTGGAATAGAAGGACTTCGTGGGACAATAGTTAATAATGACAGTAACTTAGATTTATTAAGTGCTTCCCTCACAATAATCCTGTGAGGTATAGGTAGTTATTACCCCCATTTTACAGATGAAGAAACTGAGGCTCAGAAAACATAAGCAACTTCTCCATGGTCATACATCTAGTAAATGTCAGAGTCAGGATTTGAATTCAGGTCTCCTGGTTCCAGTTCCATTGTACTTATTACTACCTATTCTACCTCTTTCAACTCATCTTGAGTCTAAAGTGTTATATTTATGTGTAGAAGGTTTTGGGGTAAAAATTTACAAAGTGATTTAATTTGCTAGTACTTTGTCTACCTAGGAAAGTTACTTAGGTTAGCCTGAGTTAGTGAGTTTCTAGCGACTGGGACCATAATTTCCTAGGAAAATGGCTGATTTCATATGACAAAATGAAGTGACATCAGGGAATCATTGATTCAGCAAATATTTGACAACCATTTATTTAGCTCCAGGATTCAATATTTCATAAAAATGAGGACTACTGTTTTCCCTGGTAGCATTAAGCTGTGGTGCTACTACTCCTCCACCTTCCACCTCTTTCACACAAACAGCAGCAACGATTCTTTATCTGGCTAGAGGAAACCATAGAAGGTTCATTTTTCATATTTGCATCCTTTATCCAGGCCTTGACAGATGACTGGAGTATAGCTCTCTTTTTCTTGTTTGTCCACTGAATTCTACCTATTTGCGTAGCTCTTCATGAACTACAGTTTAAAATCATTTCTTAAGCCCACTGCTTTTTAAATCTCTGCTGCTAAAAATATTTCACTGACTTTCCACTGAGGTTCACTAGGAATACCAAATTATCATTATTGCTCCCAAAGCCTTCCATTTCCTGCCAAGCTTCTCACTGATTTCTGTCAAACCCCACATCCATCCACACTTTTCATGTGAGCCAAGCTTCTCATAGGACTTACATCCATTATCTTTTTATTGGCTGATCTGACCCACATCCTTGAAATCAGTATCACAATGTCCAATTTGGAAGGAACTTCAGAGGTCAATTAATCCAATGCATATTGAGCTTGAATCCTATCTACATGACAGCTATTAAAATATTTGAAGGCAGCTATCATGTGCTCAGGTCTCCAAGCTAAACAGTCCATCAATCAGCATTGGCTTTGGAGGACGGTTGTGAGGCTTAGATGAGAGTTGGGTAAATAGTATTTTGGGGTGGGGGAAGGGAGAGGAGGGCAGTTTGACAGATAATAGAGGATGGCATGCAAAGCTGATTCAATATCTACAGGATGACGCAACCCCAGTGATACCTAGAGCATGGGAAGCATTTTCCAAATTCTGTATAAATGTAATCTGCTGTTCTCCTTATCCTCTTCTATGGATGAGGTCCAGTTTGTCAATATCCTTCCTACAAGGTGGTGCCCCAAACAAATACAATACTTTAGAGGTTGTCAAACCAGGGCAGAATAGAGATGGCCTTCCCAATTCCTCCTCCTTGTTCTTATTCTGAAAGGACCAACTGACTTGTTAGAATATTATCTCTAGGCTGGGGCCATCTTTGTAAATCCCACTGCAGTATTGATGATCCATTTATTATATACTGTAATTTTCTCTAACCTTCCTGGAAGCAAGCCATATAGCAAACTGCACTGTATTTCACTTTGAACATTGTACTAAGTTTCAAACAAATACCATCTGTGTCTCTTAAAAACATACTTTGAGGCAAGGACCAAGACATCTGATTTCATTTTGTGTTCTGACCATGTATTTCTCCCTCTGTATTACTTCACTTGGTGATCTTAGCAGCTTCTCTGGATTATCTCTATACTGATGATATCTCAGATCTAGCTAACTTCTCTCCTGACTTCCAGTTTCACATTTTCAATTGCCTTTCATACATCTTGAACTGGATGTTCAGTAGACAACTTAAACTGAACTCATCTTTTCCCCTAAACTCTCTTCCCTTCCAAATTTCCCATAATTGTTGAGGTCACCACTACCCTCCCAAGCTAGCAACCTAGGTGTCATCCTCACTGCCTCCACAATTCTCTCTCTAGTCCATTCTTCATTCTGCTACCAAAGTGATTTTGTGACTCTATATTTAGTAAACTGCCATGGTTTCCTGTTAAATCAGAATTCCTCTAGTATCAAATACAAAATCCTCTGGCGTTCCAAGTCCTTTATAACCTCGCCTCCCCACTCTCCTTACCTTTCCAGTATTCTTACTCCTTATCCTCTGAGGCTCCCCACCCCTTACCCCTTCGATCCAGTAACATGGACCCCCCTGCTCTTTCACGAACAAGATACTCCGTCTCCTGACTGGACAGTTTCACTGTCTGTCTTCCTGGAATGTTCTCCCTCCTTATCTCTGCCTCATAGCTTCTGTGGATTCCTTAAGTCCCAACTAAATTCCTGCATCCCACAGGAAACTTTTCTCAAACCCTCTTTAAGTCTAGAGACTTCACTGTTAATTATTTCCTACTTAGCCTGTATGTAGCTTGTTTGTACATGTTTGTTTGCTTGTTGTTTCCTGTGTTAGACTGTTGTCTCCTTGAGGGTAGAGACTGTCCCCAGGGCTTAGCTCACTGTCTGGCACATAATAGGTGCTTAATAAATGCTTATTGACTCACAAAGTTTTATGAATATTGATGGGTTCTCTGACCTGATCTTATGAGATGACATGTGCTTTCTTGAGAGACAGTAGATAAACAGCAGCAACCCAAGTATTATAGCTTCTGAGCCATGACAGTCTATCAAAGACTGAACCGAGCCTCTCTGATGCAGTGGCCATAAGGAAGAAGTCGAAGCCATCTGTTCAGAGATTATGATGATTTTCTTACACTATCTTTTTATCACCTGTGCTCATTCATTCTAAGATAACACCCGGGTCACCTTCTTACATTTTGTCAGACCCAAACACATTAGTTTTGTGTGCCATCCTAGATTATTGGGGGGGGGGGTGAGGAAGGGAATGCAGACTTGAATTTCCAGCTGCATTCCTTGAGCCCAAGAGAAAAACTTCCCTCCAAGGAACATCAGTTTCCATTACATCCGAATTCATTTACAAACGTGGTAAACTGGGACAAGGGAGGCAGCTGCAGCCTTGCAGGGGAGAAAGGCAGCCATGGTGAGGAAAGAAAAGGCCAGCTGCTTCACATACTGTTTCCTGCTGCTTTCTGGCATGGTGAGAGGAAGAACCCTTTTGAAATGAATGTTTAACAACTTCTTTGCTAGTGAATCAATGGTAGGCTGGATTCTTGGCTACATGGGGGGTGTTGGCT